CGATGAGCAGGGTCAGCCATGTGAAGTACTGAGGTGTCACACTTGAAAGTAAACTTCGCTGGTCCTTACATACCCAAAGTATTGCTTAAAAGTTGAAGAGGCTCTCTTTTCAGATCAGAAGACTGCGCCAGTTCTGTTCTGACTCGTCGGTGATAAACACTTTCGTTCAACAATGTGTCCTCCCTAAAGCTCTTTATTGCTCTCCTGTAATTTTCCCTGGTTTGTTGAAGGCTGATTTCAAGTTGCTGAGGCTCGGCCTCTCAATGATCAGCCGTGCCTCCCAAGTTCCATTATATGTTCTGATTGGCAATATGTGTAATGCCCATTTTGATGCACGCTTAAAGTTTGCTGANTCTCTGATTGCACCCATCCTCTACACACTGACTTGTGTGCATGCAACTCCCACCCATGCACCCGTTCCAAGTACAAACTTATGCCGTCTCGCATATCCGCATATAGAAACTCTTTGGTACCCTATCTTGCCCGGATACTGACCGACAAGGAAAGTGTTCGCTCTGAGCTTTCTAATGCATTGGGTAATTAACTCCTACCATTGTACGTTGTCATATCCCACTTTTCCCCCTGTTTTTACCAGAATTGTAACGGTGGTCTATTTTTTGGCTGAAAGCTTGTATATATAACTCGCTAAAGCTTGAATACAATACAATACAATACAATACAATACAATGTGTTATGCATTTCACCAGATAGGTTACCACTGCGAGTGATGTTTGCCGAGGCAGGTAGTGGGTAGCCAAGGGTGGTCAAGCTAAGATCTGGCACGAAGGTATGAAAACCCTAACCAGGACACCGGGTCACATAGGTCCCGTTAAGTTCCCTGGCTGGGGACCTCGGGATGATCGTAACCGATGATTGGAGATACTGAGTGTCGTAAAAAGTAGTATCTTCTCAATTTCTTTGCAACTCTAGAACACTGAAATTCTCCATTTTCTTGTCGACTCTACTTTCAACTTTCCTGTCTTTCACCCGCCGCTCATCTAAGTGGGCAGCCAAAATACAGCAACCAAAATCACCGCACGAACGTACGGTCGACGTTCATCAATTTGTGCGAATGGCTCAATCAATTTGAAGTACCAAGCTTGGATTAGCCCATTCGATTTTTCAGAGGCACCAGGCACTCTTGATGGGTCCCGACCCGAATGTTCACGGGTAGAGTCCTGACAAGGACACAATACGTACACGCTGCTGACGAGTCCCAAACAGAATGAAGCAGCCGTACAATGCTCTATGTCGGTTATCACAAACGTTTCCATCGCATTTAAATGCATTCAACTAGTGGGGAAGTAACGATCTCCCAAGGAGTGATACCCACGCCCATGACCATCAAGAGCGCCTCGTGCCTCGGAACAATCGAATAGGCTACTCCGAGCTTGATGCTTTAAACTCAAGATGAATAACCCAGACATGCAATAGAAAGTCAGGGTTGAACCGTTTTGCTTAGAACGGGCTACTTTTGAAAATTATTGCTCACATTCAGAAAAAAAGAAGTTATATTTCAAACGTAGTGACCAATGGCATAGTTTTGCAAATAGGAAACGCTACTAATCTCGCCCAGTTTTCTCCCAATTTCTGACTATCTAGACACCCAGATTAATCACATGTGGCATGATAATATAAGTACTTACCAAATAGTTGATGAGATACACATAGATTTCATACGTAACAGTGTGATTCGCTGTCTCTTCGGCCTCTCTATAGTCGAAGAAAAGGTTGGAGGACAAGATACCTGTACCAGACCAGCGTCCAGTGATGGAGTGACTAAAGAATTATTTGTACGCAGGAATTACTAACCTATTGTTCAGTATCTGATCACAAAATTTACCCACTGTTCTGTCAGGGGAATCTGAAAGTGGCAAATACAGGTCTGTTTTTTGGTATTCCTCATCAAACAAATACAGTACACAATCGAACACGTAGACAACATAGCGTGATAATCATACAGTTATTGTGATGGTTGGTGTTAGGGACTATGTCCGGATGGACCAGCAGCAGGGTCTTGTAAAATTGTCTTTGCAAATGCATTATTGGTTGGGTTAGCCTGGTAGCGGTTGCTTCGGCTGTACACAGGGTTCTGTGTCTCACTTCTTTAGATGGATTATACGCTACCCGGTAGATGACCTTGAATGCCCCCTTTGGTGTCAGTTTGTGACTCGTGTCGAGTGCGTGGGTTTGGATGGCACTAGTCGCAGTTTTATTGATTCATTTTGATAGTCAAGCTAAACAGTGTTCTCGAATCCTCTCTCGCCTCTCCTCATCTGGTGGTCCTTCCAACGTATTCCGTTCCACAGGGGCACACATAAGAGTACACACAAAATGAGGTAGATTGACTGGGCAACTTGTCTTTGGGTTGTAACTGTACCATAGGCTTCGTATTAAAAGAGAGATAGAGTTTAGCAGCAAGGTAAGTTCTTTCTATGGTGTGGGATAATCGACCAGTTAGCGTTTCGGTTGGTATATCCCCCCTTGAAAACCCTTTTCATAGGGACCGTAGAATAATAAGGCTAAGAATCAGCCGTAGTGTGTCTTTTGATGAAGCTTTCTGGATAGCCGTTTTCCCTTAACGTGTTGCCTATCGGAGGCATTTTATCTGGATGCTTGTTGGCTGAGCAGAAATGTTTGGCTTTATGGACCAAAGAATGCGACAAATTTCGTTTCTGTTGCATGGGGACGAAGCTCCGAAAATGAGTGTTGTTGCTCGTTCCATGTAGGCTTGTGATCCGCAGTTCTCTAAATTTACCCATCCAATTTTCTTTGTAGAAGAACATCCAGGAATGGCAGTGAACCAGCACTCTCTAGCTCTATGATGAAGTGGAGATTCGGATGAGATTCATTGAACATTGGCAGGATCTCGTCCACGTTTATGTTTGAAGGTACCGAACAGAATGTATCATCGACATAGCGCTTGTATATGTTCATCCGTGTGATGATGAGTCTTAGAGTAGTACTCTCAGTCTTAGCCATGAATATATCTGTGAGTAGTGGACCAAGTGGAGACCCCATTACAATGCCATCATTTAGCCTATAAATGGTACCGTCGAACGGGAATTGTACGTTCGCGGTCCTCCATGTTAATTTATTCTTCCAATTGCGTCTGTTGTGAGTACTACATGGGTCGCACGGTAGGGCGTTTGCCTCAGTGCGTTAAACAGCTCCACTCTACAAATAATTATTGATAGTTACAGATCATGTAACGTGTTTTATAGGGGCAACCAAATTTTTCCATTCGTTCTTTACCAGTTTGCCAACGTAAAATATGTCAATAAATCTTAGGCACTACTCATGAGTAACTGAGAGTTGAATGGGAAATAAATTAGAATCGCAATAATTCAACCGTTGCTCGTACATGGAATCTAAATTAAATCATCCAAAAGAAACAGCAACTCAATCGCGCATTTTTCTGTCAGGTTGTACATTTCAAATTGGGCTTATGAAATGAATTATTTCGTAGATAGCTGTTTAAATCAAGAAAAGCTTTACATACTCAGACGGGTGAATTTTCCAACATACTTTACAAACTATAGAGTAAAGCACAAACTGTACAGGAGATATCGATAGAAGAATAGAAAAGTCTGGCTGATTGATATACACTTTTATGCTCGTCATTACCTGTGTGAAATCTCTTGCCGACAATAAAAAGTGGCTCGAAACCAAAACTTAAGTATTAACACGTGACATTAGCTTGGTTAACAACCTTAAAATAGATGCGTCCACCCTGGAAATGGATACCCTACTTTCTCTATGGTCGGTAAAACGAAACCCAAAAACGGATTAGTGGAGTTCTCAGGCATGCTGCTGTGAGGGAGAACGATCGCAGTGCGACAGGTAAGTGTTTTTAAAAAGTATTCACTGAATGCGAGATACACCGAGTCCGCCAAAATCCCATCTGTTATTGTAAATTTAAAAAAATACGACTGATGATCATAAAGGTAGGTTATTGTCCACAAGAGGTTGCACACAGATAATTACGGGCGCAAAGATCTCCATTCAACCAAACTCATTCTGGTAAATTGCAGTGTACTTTTAAAGCTATGTCTCACTTGATATCGGAGAGCCAATCTTGGATTAACGCTGTGGTGATAAGTGTTCTCCAGTCATGCTGTGGGCCAAACAAATCACGGTACAGAAATTTTGATAAAACGAGAAAGTTCCAAGATTTTCTCGTGGGCTAGCAGATTTTCCAGGTCACACTAGGTGAATTTTTTTGGGGGAGTTCACAATGGAAGCCTTTGACCAGTGCAAGCCTGAGCCGCAAGGCGGTACATGAAAATCGCAATCCATTGGGGGCCAGTGTCCAGTACATCGGATAGTACTCCCTTCGCACCTTGTCCAAGGTGTCTAATACACCTCAATACTCAATCGAGCTGGTGACGACGGCCAAAACCAGGTGTATGCGTGGTTCGTAAGCGTTTTCATGGTTGGCTTGGAATCAGGGTTTTTAACGAACTTCCTTAGATGAACTGCCACTAGTTTACATGATCGTAGTCCCGAATGTTGAATTTTCATCCTCTCAATTTCGTGGTAAAACACCACGACGGGAAGGCAGTGAGTAAATACACCCGCATTCGAATTTAGAACCTAATTCCGAGAGGACAATAGTTTTCATGAAATTTCAATCTAATCCGTTTTTACTGCATTGATTATCTGTTTTCTTTTGATCTCACGCTGCTCCGACGGTTTTAATACACATTTTTACACTTGTTTAGACATTGTTATATCAGTAATTTATTTTATTTTAAGCATATTGAAAATCCGAAATCCGGTTCTCGCTGTTAGGTGTTCGTCGCATGTATAACTTAACTTCACTTTCGTTTTTCTGATGTAGGCAAAATGATTCACGAGTAGTTTTTCAGATCAGTTCTGGGTGTCTTACATACCATGCTACAAACACGGAAAAATGTCAGTGCACATGGTGCAAGGTCAATCGAGCGGTCAAGGACATCTGGTGACCAAATCCCCGTTCGCTTCCACAAAAAAGGGCGCAGAGACAATGGTGAGATGGGAGTGAACAGCCAAGTCCAAGTCCAAGTCCGAGTCCCAAACAGAAGCATCGAATTTTGCGCGAGCAATATTTCACAAACGGATGCATCTCAAACGCTCCGCTCCATGCTTGGATTCTATGATTCAATTTTTTTGGCTAACTAGGGTATATCATTTTACCACGGTGTCCCAACCCATACGCTCACGCAATAATTTTTGTTTTACAAATAACCATAAATAACAGTTTTGTTTCATTAAACCGTGCAAATCACGAAGGCGACAAATGCATGAAACAATATCCATAATTGGAAATGGATTGACAAGAAGATGGAGTAGTGAAGACAGTGTGTTTGTGTGTGTGAAATGCAAGCGAACAAGCATAATAGCAATGGCTGGGCATATATGTTAATCCATCAAACAATGTGCTATAGAAAATGGCTGAAAAGTATGAAAGAGACGAGGAAAGAGGGGGAAAGTACGAAGAAGCGGTGAAAAAAGAACACAGAAGCAAAAGCACAGATAATGTGTCCAAATGTGGGAGGGACATAAATGAGCGCAAATGTCGGCCGACGGTGCGAACAAACCGATATTCATGATGGGATAGTGCAGGGAATGACTGCAAAGATTTTGTTTTGTTTTAATCTCCGTCGGGGTTAGGTGGTAGTTTTTTCACTTGTCACAAGTTCGTCGTGGGTACCAGAGCAATGTATATTATTGGAGAAGAAAATAAAGTCATTTGAGGGGTAGCGCTTCTGTTCGTTCACCAAGGATAGCAACCAGTACGAAAGAGGTATGTCCGTGAGCGTCATACAATACAAAGACTGCAGAGCATATGTTCACCGTTGCGTGTAGTTGTGAACGAAACGCCCGATAGAGCCAAAATGTATGAAAATCGGAGGTGGTTGGTTATATCTCCCAAATGTAATTGGCGAAGATCTCCCCGGTCACGTCATACTTCACTTCACCTTTGGCCTCAGCTTTCAACAAGCACAGTCCAGGAAATGCTTCGGTAGCTAAACGTATCAAAGTTCTGCCGTTGCCAAGGAAATAGAATAGAAACTCAGTTCCGGGTTCGAGAACCTCAGGTTCAGACTCATCGTCCGGTGAACGGTTGGTTGTTTTCAGGTGCAGAAAACCATCGGAACAAGCAGTCCACATGGAATAACCCGACTGTGCTCCACCTATCAGAAGTCGAAAAGATAAGTATGCAATCAGAATTAAGGAATGCATAAAATTTAACTGGACAGAAGAACAGATTTATCCAACACAATAAACCATTGACACTTAGCACGAGAGAGAGACAGAGGAATCACTTACGCGCGAAAAACTGATAGGTACTGCGCTTCGTGGCCCGGAGGATAAACGGCTCATAAGTTGTACCGGAACAATCCAATGCGGTCTGCTTTCCACGCGAAATGAAGCCTCCAGTGAGCATGGATAGAAATACTATGGAAGGTCGATTCACCAACAACAAACGGAATACGTCGGTCGAGGCGGGAGACTCGGTTTCACTGACCGCACGACCGCTACACGAAATCGCGCCCAGTTTACGAGCTGATAGTGATTGGCCACTGCCGTCGGGCGTGTTCGATCGCAGCACAACTTGACCCTGTCCGGTATTATTGTCATCAGCCAACGTGAGGATTTCGAACAAGCTATCTTTATCTCTGTGGACAGTAAACACCGGTGAAGAAAGAAGATATTAGAGGTCAGTTGATTTGGGTAAGATAATTTCGAATATTTGGTTTACCGTAGACTGAAGAGTAAATAACGAATAGGGACTAATCCCAATGACGAAGACGATAAACGATACGTATATTGGTGTACATTAATATGGTGTCTTTCAAACCGCCAATGATATTCAGCATACGACGAAGGATTCTCTGATTACTCAATGTGCGTGTTACATTTGAAACGGGT